GGAAGAAAAAGGAAGGGAGATAAAAAGGGGAGGAGAGGAAACAATCATTATATTAATGAATTTATTATTCTATCACCTGTATTCATAAATTTGAAAATGTGTTCTTTTTGATCTCTACAACCCTGCAAAGATGAAAGTATCACTGTACCAGCTGTTTTTTTTTTTTTTTTTTTTTTTTTTTTTACATCAACTTGACACAAGTTAAGAGTCATTTGAGAGAAGGAAATCTTGATTGAGAAGATCCCCCCACAAGATCTGACTGTAGGCAAGTTTGTGGGCATTTTCTTAATTAGAGATGGATGGAGGAGGATCCTACCCACTGTGGATAGTGCCACCTCTGGACTCCTGGCCTGGGTTCTATAAGAGAGCAGGTTGAGCAAGCCATGTTGACCAAGCCAGTAAGCATCACCCCTCCATGGCCTCAGATTCAGCTCCTGCCTCTAGGTTCCTGCCCTGTTTTGAGTTCCTGTTCTGACTTCCTTCAATGACGGACTACAGTGTAGAAGTATAAGCCAAATAAGCCCTCCCCCACCCAATTTGCTTTTGGCCATTGTTTTCATCATAGCAATAATAAACCTAATTAAGACAGTCACACATTCCAAGGTTCAGATACAGTGACTTCCCAAACTTACACATCAAATATATAACAGGAATGAAGCTTCCCCACAACTTTTTGACTCCAGGCAGGTGACTTATGAAATAATGCACATGAAGGGGCAAGTACCTTATTATTGTTACTTATTTTGAGATGGCTCAAAGGGAAGCTCTGATTCACTGCAGCACTTGATTTGCTCCAAATTAAAACTACACAAAAGTGTCTGGGGCTGCAGGCTGAATGGCTCTTATTTTTATTTTTCTTCTCTTTTTTATTAATTTTTTTTTTACAATCCCAGTTCCCCTTTCTTCTTTTTCTCCCACTCCTCCATTCCCTGCTCCTCCCATCTGCTCCATGGAGGGTAAGGCCTCCCCTAGAAAGTCTACTAAGTCTGTCCCATCATACAGTTGAGGCAGGACCAAGGCACCTCACCTCTCCACCCTCACATCCCTATGTCTAGACTGAGCAAGGTATCTCTCCATATAGAATGGGCTCCACTAAGTCAGTTTGTACATTAGTGTTAGGTCTTGGACCCATTCATTGCCAGTGACCTTATAGACTGCCCCAGGCACCCCATTGTTACCCATAGTAAGGGAGTCCAGTTTGGTCTTATGCAGATTCCCCATTTGTCAGACCTGAGTCAGTGATCTCTCACTAGCTAGGGTCAGATGATTCTTTGGGTTTCTCCATCATAGCCTTAACTCCTTTGTTCATATTTTTGTTCCTCCCTCACTTTGATTGTATTCCAGGAGGTTGGCCCATTGGTTAATTGTGGATTTCTGCATCTGCTTCCATCTGTTTCTAGAAGAAGTTTCAAGCTTCTCTGGGGTTATGTAGTGTAGGCTGGGTGTGCTTTATTTCTAGTATCCAGTTATGAGTGAGTGCATACTATATTTGTCTTTCTGGTAGGTTACCTCACTTAGGATTTTTTTTCTAGTTCTGCCCATTTGCCTGTGAATTTTAGAATGCCATTGTTTCTTACTGCTGAGTAGTATTTCATTGAGTAAATATACCACATTTTCTTTATCCATTCTTCACTTGAGGGGCATCTAGCTGTCATTGGTGTTTTTTTATTTTAGCCATTCTGATTAGTGTAAGATGGAATCTCAGAGTGGTTTTGATTTGCATTTCCCTGATGACTAAGGATATTGAGCATTTTCCCTAAGTGTCTTTCTGCCATTTGAAATTATTCTGTTGAGAATTCTCTATTTAGACCTGTACCCCATTTCTTAATTGGATTATTTGGTAGTTTAATTTCTAGTTTCTTGAGTTCTTTGTATATTTTAGAGATCAGCTCTCTGTCAGATGTAGGATTGGTGAAGATCTTTTCCCATTCTGTAGGGAGCTGTTTTGTCTTGTTGACCACGTTCTTTGTTTTACAGAACCTTCTCCGTTTCAGGAGGTCCCGTTTATTAATTATTAATAGTTGCCCCCAGAGCCTGTGCTAGTGGTGGCTTTATGCACATCATTGCAGCACACTAGTATCAATACATAATTCAATCCTGTAATTGCAATTAATTCCCAATCAGAGCAACATCCTCTGTAATATTAAAGGAAACAGATAATTATTGAACAGGAGCAACAAGTCCTTCTAAATGTAACAGTGTGCCCTGTGATGTACACATTGATCTTGTCTCATGCACTCATGGCTGGTTCTGCTGCTTACAGAGGAAAGCCTGGAACTTTCTCTTTCAGACTAGACGGGACTAGATTCACACTTGCAGCAACAACACTTGTTGATATCTCAGTACTCTGATTATTAGGTATGTGCTGCCATACCTGGTTTACAGTATCGTTTTCTTAATTAAAGACTTAATTTCTTCGTGGGAAAAAAAGAATGGCTTATAGCAAATCAAACAGTTGGCACAGAATTTCTACACACCACAGGCAGAATTTCACCAAAACTGACGAGCCAATTTTGATTATATCAGTATTAACAGTAGTCCATAATATACATTTGAGTTTATTCTTTGTGTTGCTTAGGTTTATGGCTTTTGTTAAACATATGACGTCATGCAGCCATGAGTAGAGTATCACATTATAATCCCACTGCTCTGATAAGTTCCTGGCCTCCATATGTTCACTTTTCCTCTTTTGACTGCAGCGGCAAACCAGCAAACCAGTGATCTTTTTCCCATCTTCCTAGGCTTTATTCTGTTACATGATTAGCTAAGCGCTGTACACACTGCATTTCCAAGACGGTTTTCCTCTTTTCTTCCTTCCCCCTCCTTCTCCACACCTCCCTGTTTCTGGAGATGGAATTCAGGGCCTCACACAGGCCAGGCAAGCATTTTACGTGTAAGCAACATGGCTAGCCCTGAAAATGACTTCCAATGTAGCAGTATGTGTGTGTAACCCATTTTTCTTTCGTTCTATGTCTCAAGAAACCAGAAAAAAAAGACTGCCCCCCCCAAAAAAAAGGGATATATACATCCAGACAGATGCGGTGACACATGCCTATACTATCAGTTATTGGGAGGCTAAGGCAGAATGACTGTCATGAGTTCAGTCTAGCCTTGGCTTTGAAGATTGTTTCAAGTCACCACACACACACACACACACACACACACACACACAGAGAGGGAGAGAGAGAGAGAGAGAGAGAGAGAGAGAGAGAGAGGCAAAAGTGTAAAAAAGATTTTCAAAACAAAAGAATAAGGAATAGTAGTAATGAGTGTTGACTAAGTTTGAGCTGTCTTCCTCTTGTTTTGTCATTATTTCAGTGTTTTATTCAGTAAATACTGATGAGAAGTCTCACTTGACTCTAGGGACACTATAATGAAGAGCCAGGGCCCTCAGGATCTTCATCATGCTATTTGCAAACACACAGACAAGCCAGGGGGATCATTCTTCACCATGAATAGTACAAGGGGTTACAAAGAGGTGACCCGACTTACATCATGTTTCTTTGTTTCTGGTAGGGGAATTTACAACTGGCTCTGACAGAAGCCAGGCTTGAATTGACATGGTATAATGCATAGAAAGTATTCTAAAATTATGAGTCTAGTAGTATGGTAAATTAGTTATTGTTATTTTTGCATGGGAAAGCTTCTGGTAACTTACTCATTTTAGAATGGGTTATGTAGCCCAGGTTGGCTTTGAACTCCTCCTGCCTCCACCCGTTACTTCACTGGGATTGTAAGCACCAGTATAACTTCTTATACTTCAAAGCAAATGAACTTATCAAGTAGAAGCAGGTTAATGTGTTCCAGGCTTTTAATCTTAACACTCAGAGATGGATGTAGCAGTAGCTACAGTTTCAGGCTAGCCTAGGCTACACAGTAAGATCCTGCTTATTAAAAAAAAAAAAATCAAATGAGTAATTTAAGTTAGGGGCTACCAAATAATAGTTGCTCAAAAATGTTAGTTGAAGTTCATTTTTGCAATACTGTTTTTCCAAAATTTAAACACTATTTTGTGCTGGGTAGTAGTAGAGAACAACTTTAATCCCAGCACTAAGGAGGAACTCTGAATTTGAGGGCAGCCTGATCTACAGAACAAATTCCAGGCTAGCTAGGGATATACGGAGAAAACTTGTCTAAACAAACACAAGAACTAACACCCTTCTCAGACCCCTATTTTGCTCATGGCAAAATTTAACTGTTTTCTGACAAACAAAATAGTGGTTTAATCATAAATAAAACCAGCAATCAAAAACAGAGTTCTAGAATCCTTCCAAATTTTAAGTCCAGCCCTTTCCCTATCTCTTGGTATTGGAGACCTCTGACCTGTGTTCTGTCCGAAACAATACGGACTCTCAGGAAATTGCAAAAACATTACCAGGGATTTATTAGGTACTTAACATTGTAATCTTACACAACTTGCCTAAGACCAAATCTCGAGATCTGAAAACCAACTGTGCTTCATTTTGCCTGTTTACTTTCTTTTCTAAGACATGTTCTCTTGTTTAAAGAAGCAGACTGGCTTTCCCTGAGGCATCCTATCGGTCCTTGACCCCTCTGACTCTGACATCCTCTGACTTTTCCTCCTTGTCCCTGTTTCATTTTGGATTGGTATTTTCTGCTTTTTGTGTCACAAATGGTACAAGTTGTCAGCACTCGGAATTCCTAACTTCTTGCCCTAGTGTTGTTTTAAATGGATGACCGCGACCGAGGTGACGTGACTCTCTTAAGCTCTTGGGGACGTGAGCGGCCTGAATTCTTGCTCTTTGTTCGGACTCTTCTTCCTCACGGGCCGCCCGTTTATAGTCAGGAAATTAGCGTGCTGGAGGAGAGTGCAGGTATCCTGGCTCGGGGTCGCCCCTGCCGGGCCTTCTTCACTTAGTGGATTGTTCTGGGAAGAGACGCGCGTACACAGGTTGCAGGAAGGTCTCGCCTGGACGTCACTCGGGCGCCGGGCGCCCCCAGTGCGCATGCTCACTGCGGCGCGGGCGGGGCTCCTCCCCCGGCTCCGCGGTCCCGGCCCCGCCCCGCTGCGCGCCGCCGGCTGCTGGTCAGGGCGAGCGAGCGAGCGGGGTGAGTACTCCCAGCCACGGCGCCTCCTCCTCTGATGCCCGCAGCCCTCGCCCGCCTCCCGGGACCGGAGAAGGGCGGCGGAGCGGCCAGCCCGGAACAAAAGGCCGGGGAGGCGGGCGCGGGCCGCCCGGCGACCTTCCACCTTGTGCTTGGAATGTGCCCACGTGACCTTGAAACAAAGGAAGCGAAGTGACTGGCAGGCCCACCTGACCACCTCACCGCCCCAGTCTATAATGCCGGGAAGTGGGGGGGATCGGAGATAAAGGAATAATTAACTGATTTATAGAAGACGAACTTTCAGTTGTAGTGATAATTATGAAAATTTGGGTAGTAAAACCCGGGGTGGCTACATGTTCTTTCACAGTCAAAATGGAGTCCAAATTTCTGCAGTTACATTTTTCTGACAAGATGCAAATAGTTTCCAAACATAAGAAACAAAACAAAACAAACCCTGTTTGCTTCTGAGCCAGGGTCTGCTACAATGTAGCCCTAGAACTCTAAACAGCCGAGCCTTGTCTCCCAAGTGTTGGTGGGTGCTCAAGTGCCTGGATTGTTTGGTCTGTGCTCAAGGTGGCCGCCTGCCTCAGCCTCTCCAAAGCAGCTGAGACTGCACATGCAGTCACAGGGTACAGGAGCCTTGTCAGTATCTACTCATAACTCTGCCAATAGCAGTGCTCTTTCTAAATTCAAGAATTCTTTGCCAAAAGCTTACTTTGAGTCGTTATAATCTGGTAGTGGCCTCCTCTGTGGTGGCAAAGGAGTACATTTATGGTTGTTAGGGTTAGAGAACATAGACCCTGTGCAGTGCTCAAATCCATCTTAGGATCCCAGGTATCACTGCTCCCTGCTCGGTGCTTCCAAAGCATCAGATAGTGACAGGAGGCGATGGCACAAAATGAAAACCTTAGCCGAAACATAAATTGAGTAATGAGGACGTTAAAGTCTCCCAGAGCAATTTTGGAAAGCGCCATACCCGAGCTTGCTGGCCCATCACTGTCATCCTAGCGGATCATAGCTGTAGGCCCAACCATCTCCAGTTTGAAGCCAGCCTGCACTACACACAGCCGAATCCTTTCTCAATGAGCAAAAACGAGCAGGAGATTGTTATTTACATCTTAATGGAAGAAACTAGTAGAAGAAGTTCTCAGCTTGATGCATTTGAATATGGGATATTACAAAACCAGGGTAATATTAAAGATCGTGCTATTCCTGGTAGGGTATGTAAGACATACATCATCTTACCCTTTCTCAGTTTCCTAGACCACGTTAGCCTTGTGCTTCCTGTGCAGCTGGGGCTGACCTTGAGCTGATCTTCCTGTCTCCTTCCCAAAGGCTGGTGTGCATCAATCACAATGCCCAGTTTATGTGGTGCTGGGAATTGAACTCAGGCCTTTATGCAGCCTAGACAACCACTCTGCCAACCCATATACATAATACATACATAATACATATATTTGAGACAGGTCTTAAGGTCTTATGGAGTCTAGTCTAGTGTGGACTTTACCATCCTCTTGCCGCAGCCTCTAGAGGGCTGAGATTATAGGCATCTGCTATCTTGCTCAGAACAAGTTTTATCTTGATAGTACTTCTTAATGTTCAGTAAACTTTTGAGAAACATAAATATCCCTTTAGGAAAAACAGTAAAGCTTACCTAAGTAGATAGTTTTGGACTGGGATTGATGTGGATATTAATATCTTTGAAGCCTCAAGATGTGTTTTGGACCTCTCAGAGGTAATGTTTGAATCACAAACATAATCAACATCCAAAAGAAAGAGCTATAGAGATTATTTGGTGGTGGTACATCGGAAGTTAATGTCCTTAGGGGCCAAACAGGCTATGAAACACTTAGAAAATAGGGCAACTGAAAATACGCTCCATTTGAATGAAGGCAAGCTCTGCAGAAGTGGAGGTCCCTCTGCTATGCTTGGTACATCAAATGCTCACTGGTCTATAGGGGCCAAGAAGAGTAATTACTAATAGTTTGCCTTTGAAGTTATGGTTCTTTCACATCATCATATATTATCTTTCCAAGAAAAGCTTTGCATCTACCCCCTTTGTTCTCTGCAACCTTACAATTGTTTGCCATTGCTTGCTGCTTTAAATGGAATCTTTTGAGTTGGCAGGCTTTCTAAACTGCTTGCTTCCTGTTCCCCAGATTTTCCTGTAGTCCTCAATCTACTGTCTAGCCAGGTGATTTACTTGTCCACTCTGTGTCATTTCAACCTATCCCTAAGGGTCATTATCCCCTCCATCACTTTTTCAATGCTACCAGTTTGTTTCAATTCATGTTTCAACTCAGTCCCAGGACTAGTGGAAGTCTCATTTCCTCTAGAGTGTAGGCTGTAGTGTTTTTGGTTGACTTACTACCTTTAACTGCTATACCAAGCTACTTATCTTGTATCTCATTTTCCTCATCTATAGAGGAAGTCAGACTGACATACCTCATAGAAGCGCTATGAGGGTTTTAGTTACTGTGGTTCTTGATGCATAAGAAAGGCTTACTAATACTATTTTTAATTATTACATCAACCCATACTAATTCCTTAAACAGCACTGTACAGTTTATCATTGATTTTATTGCATTGCATTAATGTTCTTTTCAGCTTGAAAATTGTCATATAAAGTTGGTTACTGACTGTTGAAAGCAAAGTTATGATTTATATTTCTTTTTCAAAGTCTCAGATCTCTCAAGGTGATTACTCAGGGTTTGGTATATATAGTTTTTTTTTTCCTATCTTGTTATCTGGTTTCGTTTCTATTAGCCATTATATCTGTGTTGCTTGTAATTTTAAATTCGAATCCCATTTGTCCCAAAAGTATCTGAGGTGACTTATAACCCATAAATGATATAGTGACAAAGATAAATCATGGTCCTGAAGATACGAAGCTCAACTAGAAAGATGACATTAGGATGAGTCACACTGAAATACAGTCTATGAAAAGTTGCACATTTTTTTCTATGTCTATGTAATGACTAAAGGTAGCCTTGGATGAAGTTCTGAGCTTCACGATGGTCAAAGGAAAGAAGGAAATAAATCACAAACTCTAAAAACACAGCTTCCTGGGTTCAGATAATTGGGAAATCATTGCCTGAGGTGGCACCATCACTCCGGGTTCCCACAATAGCAAACTCAACTCAGTGGAAACCATCTTCAAGGAAAACAAACATGCTCTCTCAAGTGCTGACCTCTAGCTAAGGAATTTCTGCTGGAATGAACCTAAGAAAGCCATTGCTTCCCTTACAGACTTCAGGTGCCTCCCTTTGCCGGTGTTCTGTGTTCTCAAAAAGCCTTTGCCTTGCTCATCCATGGTGGAGCCCCAACTGCTTGCATCATGGTACTACCCAGTCGAAGCGCTTGTCTCCTCCAGCTGGTTAAAGGTTCAGTACCACAGCTGACCTTCAGGCACTTAGGCATGAGTAGTCAGTATGGGGAATGTAGGTCGTGGTCATAGTTCAGAGGGGACGCAGAAGCTCTCTTCATTTTGTTGACCTGTGACTGACTGACACCTTTTCCAGGAGGCATGTAGGTTGTTTCTGTGATCTATGTTAATCAGTTGGCATTGTTTTATTTTCATTTTCTTCTCCTCCTCCGCCTCTTCTGTGTTTTGAGAAAACATTTCAAGAGTATATACTAAAATACTAATTTGATCCCCTTTCAAACGTCTACTCTTTCTAACCTATATGTAGAATTTAAGTTTCTGATCTTTTATATTATAATTTCCTTCCTTACCCATCCTCCTTTTCCTTCTCTTTTCTGATTCTCAGGTGGGGTCTCATGACCCAGCCTGGCTTGGTACTTGTTATGTAGCCCAGGCTGGCCTTAGTCTGTCTGTCTGTCTTCTTCCTATTTCAATTTCACTGGGCTAGGATTACAGGTGTTTGCCACCATACCTGGTGCCCAGTTTACTTTTGAATTATAACCATTTTTTTCTTTCATTTTATCTTGCTTTTAGATAGTTTGCTTTCTTTTTAAATTGGTGATGCAGAGTAAATTATTGGTTTTTCAGTCAGTATATAAAAAAGGGTTTCCGTCTTCAACCTTCTAATTTTGCTGTTGTTTTTGAGACACGGTTTCTCTCTATAACAGCCTTGGTTGTCCTGGAACTCTTTTTGGCCTTAAGCTCACAGAGATCTGCCTGCCTCTGTCTCTCAAGTGCTGGGATTGAAGGCGAGTGCTACTATGGCTACCATTACCTGGCTCTCTCTCTCTCTCTCTCTCTCTCTCTCTCTCTCTCTCTCTCTCTCTCTCTTTTCTTTTAAAGACAGGATCTTACTTACTTTGGGTAGCTTGGAACTAGCAAACATCATGCCTCAGCTTCTGAAATGCCCAAATTACAGATGTGCATCGCCATGTCGACCCCTTCAACTTTATGGACATGTGTCTCTTTTCTTATTTGAGAGTTTCTCATTGGCACCACATTGACATTGACTGACATTAGTGACTGACTGCAGAGGGACTTGTGTGGGTTGGTGTTGCTGACTTAGCAAGCAGGTGCTCCTCATCTCCCTCCCTACAAGGAGATGTTGAGCATTCTTCCTTTCACTATAGTTGTAGAGCAGGTGGGTACAGCTCCAGGTAGATAGGATGCATGTCTTCTGTGTTCTGGAGAGGCTTCCCAATTCTTCCCTCTCTCTGTCCTGTGTCAGTAACCTGGGGAGTGTTTTCATTTCATCTACAACTTAGAAATTTAGAGGTTTGGGGAAGATGATGGTGAGACTACTACTATTTTAAAGGCTAGTCTGTTCCCTTAGCTCCCCATTGCTGGCTTTATTTTTATATCATAGTACTCAGTCCTTCACATTCTCCTCTGGCCATGCACATTACATAGTTAGAGAGAACACGGAGATTGGAAACCAGTAGGAGAATGGTGACTTAGTATGTTTCCTTTAAGGACTATAGAAAGGAGGAAAGTGAAATGCTTCTTGTTTCCTCCTGTGACTTCCTGTGGCAGAGGTCAGCTCCAATCAGTGAGTTTCCCTGCCAATGTTTCCCGTTTA